GCTCTGTCCTCCTTTTTGGTTATAACATTGGTCACCCTGCCTTTGTGGGGCCAACCAAAATGCACAAAATACGTGAAGCCAGCTTTCCATAGCATTTAAGTTTTCCCATGCAAGCAAAATTACGCTAAAAAAATGACACACTGCTGCAGACCCTCCAATTACATATATGAAGAAGCATAGGACTTTATCGCACAGGGGAAAAATCAAAGGCATTGTCCGGGGAAAGTTGCACAACCGCAGCTATGATTATCACAGGACGCCACGATTAGAGAGGGCTTAGCCCAGGAATAGCCAACAATAAAACGATTCAAACTTGAAACTCATGCACACAATGACCAATTCCCAAATTATATGGGAATTGCAGTGTGGTCCCTAGTGCCTCTTCCTTTCCTAAACCCTGCTTAGATCCTGGTATGTGCAAAAACCAATCATGGCATTTATGCATTTTTGTTCAAGAGCACAACAGTGTGGAAATATTGAGCGCTATAGCACTCCTGTTCCCTTTTCTTTTCACTAGCTCAGTTATTACTGAATTGGCCCTGGTGTGATAATCTCCATAGCAGGGGTTGGCAACCGGACCCGGCCCGCCGAGGCCTTGAAACCGGCCCATGGCCAGTCCTGCCACTGCCACTGCCGCCGCCGCACCGTGCATAACACGAGGTACCATTTTGCTTTCCAAAATGGCACCCGTGCTCGCGCATGCATGCGCATGATGGCAGGCACCATTTTGGAACATCAAACGGCGCCGGTGCCATTTGGCCTTCCAAAACTGCGCCTGCCGCCGTGCGCATGTGTGCATGAGCGCAGGGCGCCATCCAAAATGGCACCCTGCGCTCGCATGTGCACCACCGCGGCCCGGGGGCATCAGGGGACAGGGGGACCAACCCCACCCCCAAAAAGGTTGCCAACTCCTGCTCCATAGAATCGTAGAGTTGGAAGAGGTGGGCATTGATGACATAATATTTTTAATCTTGTAAGCTGCTTTGAGTTCCAGCTTTGAGAAAAGGGCAGGATGATGATCATCATCTAGAATAGGGTTGGAAGAGACCCCAAGAGCCACAAAAAGTTATGGATGGCTCTCAAAGACATGGGAGTGCCACTACATTTGATTGTCTTTATAAGAAATCTGTACTTAGGACAAGAGGCAACTGAATGTAGAGATCTCAATTATCAAAGGGATCAGGCAGGGCTGCATTTTATCACTTGTTCAACTTGTATACAGAAAATATCATAGGAAGAGCAGGTTTGGGCTTAGAAGGAGAAGGAGTAAAGATAGAAGGAAGGAACATCAACAATCTCAGATATGCAGACGACACTTATACTACTAGCTGAAAATATCACAGACTTGTAACAATTACTAAGGAAGGTCAAGGAAAAAAGTGCAAAGGCCGACTTATTGCTGAACATAAAGAAAACAAAAATAATAACCATGGAGGATCTACATAAATTCAACCTAGATAATGAGGTCATTGAAATGGTCAAAGATTTCCTGTACCTTGAATCAAATATTGACCAGAATGGAGGCTGTAGTCATGAAATCAGAAGACTAGGAATAGGAAGGACAGCTATGAAAGAACTAGAAAAGATCCTGAAGAGTAAAGATATACAACTGAGCACTAAAGTCAGAATCATCCAACCCATTGTATTCCCTGTCAACACGTATGGATGTGGGATCTGGACATTGAGGAAAGTGGACAGGAAGAAAATAAACACATTTCAGACATAGTACTGGAGAAGAGTGCTGAGGATACCGTGGATGGCTGAAAAGACAAACAAATGGGTTTTAGAATTGATCAAGGCTGAACTCTCCCTGGAAGTGAAGATGACAAATCTGAGGCTGTCATACTCTGGTCACATCATGAGAAGGCATGACTCCTTGGAAAAGACAAAAATGCTAGGAAAGGTAGAAGGCCTTTCTGTTTTTAAACTTGCTGTACCCCGCTCCGATTGCCACGCAGAGGGGCGGGTTATAAATAAAAATTTATTATTATTTATTATTATTATTATAAGGCAGCAGAAAGAGAGGAAGACCACATGCCAGATGGCTAGATTCAATCAGGGAGGTCACAGTCTGAATCTGCAGAACCTGAGCAAAACAGTGGAGGACAGGGTCTCATCCATAGGGTCACCATGAGTCGGGGTCAACTTGAGTGCAGTTAGCAACAACAGCTTTCAAAGCTCCACTGGCTTCTGCTTCAGGCACAGGAGAGACAACCTGGACCTCGAAGGAAGCTTAATTTTTGTTGCTAATGGAGTTTAAATTTTTATTTCCTGGGCTTTATGACTCTTTGGGTGCGGATACACTGTGGAAATAATGCAGTTTTTAAGTGCTGTAGCTCCACCCTAGGGAATCCTGGGATTTTTAGTTTTACAAGGTCTTCTCTGCCCAAGAGTGCTGGTGCCTCACAAAACTGCAAATCTCAGGGTTCTGTAGGATGAAGTTCTGACAGTTAAAGTGGTGTCAAACTGCATTATACCTACAAGGTGGAGGCACCTTTTGTCTCCCGGAACCCATATGGCCAAAAGAGAGGAGTGGCTAAAAATGCCATAAATTCCATAGCATGAGGCCATGGCTGATAAAGCCATGTCAAGTTGAATTAATTGGATGTTCTGCAATAACATCTTAACTGAGAACATTTTGACAAAATGCAGACCAATGACTCTAATATTGTCATTTTATTCTTTCTGCTGTATGATTTTTAACACTTTTGCCTGATGCAGAAGCCAATGGAACTTCAAAACTTGCATGATATATTTTGTGCATTTTGCTTCATCCAATAAAGGTATAGCTATTTTGTAGATTTTGGGTGTTATTGTATTTTGCTGTGTGGCTAATATGGCTGCTCCTAGATATGTTTACTGGGAAAGATTCTCCGAAGGACGCCAGACCATCCCTTCCTGCAGACAACTGGTTTTATCTTCATTAAAACTGCTGCAGACAGACTTGGCATTGAGGAATTGCAGGAACAACAAAGGGGTCCAGCATTTATGTTCACTTTATAGTCAGTCCTAACCATTCCTGCCTCCCCTGCGAAACAATAATAAAAAGCAGGAATCTGATTCAACAGAATCATGCATCTGATGAAGAAAGGTCAAGTCCATGAAAGATTATACAAAATAAAATGTACAGCTCTGTGATCTTTAAGTCTGCTTTTGCTGCAACAAAGTAACCCTTCACCCCACTGGAAATAAACCACTCAGCACACATGGGAAAAGAAACAGAATCACAGATTTAGCTGCCTGTGTACTTTGATTTTATTACCTTCTTAATTAGGTTCGAAATCATCTCAAATAATGGGAGAAGCAGCACAGTAATAACATTTTGCAAAATAACCCATAGGTCCACTAAATGCAACATTTATCTCTGAATTTAAACTGCAGTTGCAAATATCTGCAATGGACATTAGGGGGAGCATCTATTCCATAACAAAATGCTTTGCATATGTGGGTTCAAAGTTTCTTTTCTTGTGTTGTTTTATTTGTTGAGAATATTTGTATGCCGCCTTTAAACTCAAGGGCTTCATTTCCTCAGAAACCCAAACAGCAGCAATAAAATCATAAAACGGCATACAAAGAGGCATACATAAGCAATAAAACAGCAACAGAAGAGTAGCAACAATTACTGTATCATACAGTTAATTTTTAATTGTAAGCTACTTGGCAAGCCAACCTAGATTGGAAAATGGTAATAACAGCAGCAGCATTAATTTGTCATTATTTTGGATGTGTCAAATGCAAGCCTTTGCGAATGGATGAAAAACCCCGTTCTGAATATTTTAAAGTACATCTCTGCCTATGGTTGTGGATAGACAAGTATTATTATTATTAGCCATTAGTTGCTATAATCACATAGAAATTAGGTAGGTTCCAGAACAATGCAATGTTTTCCAAAGCAATAGTCATATGAATTTCTCAGCAAGAGCAAATTGCAGTTTGTCTAGTGGGGAAATGCAATCTC